AACCATCTGTTGATATTTTAAAATCATGAAGAAAGGCGCCCTAGTGAGTATAGTCTATTGGTGTGATGGAAATGGCATGGGTATCTCCAGAACAAGTAATGCCGCGCAGTACTTGCGTTCATGAGTTGAGTATTGTGGCTTGCAATTCCGAACAAATCTATTGGCATGAAGGTTTCAATATTAGACGGTGGGTGGTATGTGTAGAGAGAAGTAAGGGATTTTCGGTGGTATAATGGTCTAGCAATTTGGGTAGTGATTTGCTGGAGTCTTTTTACTTCAAAGGTGGCTGACCCATTTAGAGAAGAAAAGTGAAAAAGGGGAGTTTTTTTTTTTTTTTTTAATATTTTAGTAAGGCCTAATAGAAAAAAAAATCCATACATTTGACACTTCTTACGAAAAACGTCCCTACATTTCAATTTTTTTATGTTTTCATTTCTATTTCCACGTTGCATTGTAGAAAACGTCATTTTCACCAATTCGAAACGTAGAAACGTTTCATACACTATAGGCCAAACGTATGGACGTTTATTTGAACTTACTTGCACTTTTTAAAATATTTAGTAGTAAGATTGTAATTTAATCTTTATTTTCCTTTTCCTTTTTTTATTTTATTTAAATGGGAGAGTATTTTAATTATTTTACATTAAAAATAGTAAAATTAACATTTTTTGCAATGAAATATTGAAATAAGGGCGAAAATATCAAAAAATAAAAAGTAGTGACATTTTGCACAATAATATTGAAATGTATAGACCTTTTATCCTAATTAAAACATAAAGTATTTATAAATTTAGAGAGTTAAAATTTTAAAATATCCTACAAACTATTTATATTTAACACTTAATTTTACTATTCTCAAAAAAATATTTATTATTTTTCTATCTTTTATTTTAACTAGCATTTCTTTAGATTATTTTATAATTTTCCAAAATTTAAATTGAAACACTTTGAATGCATTTGATTATAGAAAGCGAATTTGGCTCTAAATTAAAATTTTAATTTAAAAAGTCTCTTGGAGAATGGTTTTAAGAGTTGACTTTTTAACATAAAGAACATTTTATGTTTAAAGAATTTATTGGAAATATTCTTATTTAACTTTTAGAAGTAATTGTAATTATTAATTTAGAACCGGTTTTTAGAAAGAATAAATTGCTTTTGATTTTCTCGAGCATAGAGTTTAATTGATATAGATCTCGTATAATTAACATACGTAAAAACTTACCATATGTCTATTGTTAACTGCTATGTGCACCACACAAACGTGCAAGTTTACTGTTTGACTTGAGTAAGAACTCAACGTGTGCAAAGACATACACAAACACAAATATATGAAAACATAAATATAATAACACTTGCCTTCGATGGACATAAGAAGTCCAACAAAAGACCAAGAATAATCTCCAAGGTTGTGACGTGCAGGGGCGGAGCCAGGATTTGTGTTCAGTGTGGGCAACATTTTTCGACGCCGAACTTCGAGGATTTGGTCATAAATTTAATGATGATAAAAAATAAAACAATATTACAACAACACTAAAAACGAGTGAAAATTTAACAAATATAACAAATCCATTCCAATGGTGGATTGATCTGTGCTCCGAAGTCTAAATGATACATTGTTTTATCAACATTTTGTAGAATTTAAAATTTGAGGTTTCATTTCTCATGAAAACTTCCATGTAACCAAAACGTATACCGAAGACTGACTGTGAATCAGTTGTCAAGTTACAGATATCTCTGCTGAAGTCTTCCAATTGCTCTATGTGACTTTAATATACAAACCAACAAGCAAACATAGAACAATATGAATTTGTGTTTCTGGAAAATATATTTTGCATGTCTGCAACCAGAACAATCAATAATCTTTTTTTGCCTGTGTTTGGTTCATCTGTCCAATGAAATGTCTAGGAGTCATCACTGGTCGGCAACACAAAAGAAGAACATATTGCCATACATAGTATAATTGGAAAACGCTGTAGAGTATTAATGTGAAAAAAGAAGCTAATGAATTGTTCACTACAGGTTGCATACAAAACATGCCCAGATTTTATCATTGCTTTTCCGTGATTATGCATCATAGAGTAAAAAACTTTTTAGAACTTTGTATTTATTAGGATTCTACAATTATATACAAAACAATAAAACAAGTAAAACACAAGAAATATTGCACCAGCTACCGAACTCTTTAAACCATGAAGGACTGAATCGTCTAATTGTTACTCCAAATTGTCGTTTTGGAAAGTCATGATCTTGGGGCTGACAAGGACCCGTTAACATATATGCTCTTCAAATTTCATCTCGAATGTTAGCATTGTAATCCAAAATGGGTATCCTTAGACCAGGATCAGTTGGAAGTTTTGTGACATTAAACTCCACATTATTCGATACCCCCTCATCAACACTATCTACGTTCCTTTTTCGTTGAAAGTATCTATTCATTTGATATCTGGATTTAAACATTTGACATTCAATTATTACTTGAAGTGAGTGAGAATAATTCATAATGACAAAAGGATCATAAATTCACAATTTCACATGTTCTACTACAAATTAACTCACTTTATGAATGGGACTTCTTTAAGAATTAAACAGCATACACACATTGATTTGAATGATAATAGATTTCACATTCTTGAAAAGGGTTTGACATGCAAAATGAGATGCTAATCCACTAAGCTTTTTAATAAGTACTTTCAATGTCTCCATTTTAAACATTAATTAGATCTGACACTTCTAAGTCATTAGACCAAGATTCATTAAACTGTACAATCACGTCACTACCTAATACAGTACGACATTACTTGAAAACACATCATGAGTCACAAGCTATATCTAATTGTCCATTAGTGCTCAAAGATAATATGAGATTAGGATTCTGAAGCATAATTGAGTACTTTGCATATAATTAGTATTACTCAGATATTAACAATAATCTCACCATTTAACTGAAATCACTTGTTTTGCTTATTTGCGACCGTTCTCTGCACAGTAGATACACTATCCACAAATTTTGTTCGGAAAAGAACATTGGCATCGGTAAACATGCCTTCCTTCAAAGAAACTATAATAAACTGCAGCAAAAACAAAGGTAGATTAATGATAGATGCTATTCTGATATAAATGATTCATTAACGATGACACACAATCTTCTCGAAATCCACTAGCTTTCTTGAATCATAATCTGATTCCATTACCTCTGAGACAAATGTATCCATTCTATAGGAGTGTTGATAAATTTGGACACCCTAATTCAAGTTTAGAGAACATATCAATCACCGTCTTTCTCTGAAACGGAGCTTAAGCAACTAAGCAAGAATGTCATCATCCCATTATACACATGTATATATTATAACAAGAAATAGTCCAAAAATCCTTTTTGTCTCACTCAAAATTCCCAATTGGAAATCACAGAACAACAGGCACGATTTGGGTATATGTGTTTTTCATATAGTGTGCAATTTTGCTACAAGAAATTGGAGGTTGAAATTGAAAATTAAATCGAAATCAAAATCACCTTCTTCATTCTTCTGGGCTCCGGCCGCTTCGGGCTTCTCCAATCTCCACTCTCCAGTGAATCAGTATGACAGTTCTTCTTCTTTCGTTGGGTAGCTTGGGCTAGTTAGCGGTGTCGCGGCAGCTGGCGGTGGACTAGAACTACAGTCTAGAAATCGACAACTGCGAGCTGGAGTGGCGACTGGCGAGAAGCAGGCGAGGGTCGACTGATCGAGAGAGAGACGATTCAAGCTCAAGGGTTTGGTTTTGATTTGAACGAAATCGGGTGGTTTTGATTTGAACGAAACTGGGTCCGGGTCAGTAAACGGGTCATGGGCCATTGAGCTTTTTTTAATTGATCCAGGCTTTACCCAAAAAAAATAAAATTGGGCCTACTAGAGCCCAAAAGTTCAACTGGACCTAATGGGGCTCCGCCCTGGACTGACGTGGTTAAAGCTGTCAAAATACAAGAAGACACGTAAAATCACAAAAGACACATTGAAGAGGCAAAATTGAAAGAAAACCAAAACTACATTGCAGCATTTCAAGGATTCCACAATATTTCTTTGTTCTCTGCAATTTTCTTGGAATGGCGAACCGGGAGCCAAAATCAATTTTTCCCCCCCTTTTATCTTCATATTGAAGGTAATGAAATTGACTAAGCAGTGAAGAAACAGTAATAGTTTTAATTGTTTTTAGATGTAAGTAACATAATTTATTGCAAAATGGCATAACATACTAACTTTTAGAAAAAATTTGTTTTTCATTAAACTGTGTGAATATATAGTGTTTAAATGAATGATTTAATAAGAATAATTTTGAAATGTAAGTAGGGATGGCAAAAACCCCTGTCCCGTCCTTTCTTGAATGGGGAGGAAAAAGCCCTCCCCAAACCCGCCCGTTGAAGAGAAAAAAAAAAAATAATAAATAGACGAGGCGGCAAACAGTGCAAGCAGTCCCAATGCCATCACTAAATGTAAGGGGACAAATATTGTACTTTTAAAAAAATTGAAAATTTAGAGTGATAGAAATATAAAAATGGTGTGAATATGTAGTGTTTAAATAAATAAATTTAATAAAGATGATCTTAGATCATAATGTAAATGAATATAGTACTTCTTTACAATTCTAAAATGAATAGATTTAGAGTGGATAGATGCATAAAAATGATAGTCTTCAACGCAAGAAAGGAGTGTAGAAAATTCATTTTCTTGTATAAAAAATGAAATGATTTTTTGTGCGTACATCAAAAGTGGGTAATCTAATGGCGCTGTAATGGGCGATAAAAATATTTCCAACCAAGACTAAAAGAAAACTCAGTCATTAACTAAGTAAGAAATTCAAGAAATGGCTTTTACAATGTTATCCATCTTCCAGTCTAATACACCATTCTCCGGACGTTCTTGCTGCAGCCTGCGAAGAAAAACATGCAGCAACATCCATTTTCCAGCCTAGTACACCAAAAAATAAGCAATTTTTTCACACACACACACACAGTACAAGAATAAATATAAACAAGACGAAAAGACAATATTTCCATCTTAATTCTCGAACAAAATACAACATAAGAGCATACATGATCCAAGGTCGATCCTAAAACACATGAAAGTTTACATGTCACGATCCAAGTCCCAGTCAAATACGATACTATTCATCCAGTTTACAATCAAGATATGATCAACTAGGATTTTATTATAACAAAATTTCAGGAGGTCATTCATCAACATCATGAGATTCGGCTTCAACTGCCTCCAGTCTTTTACAGAAGCCCTCTAACTCTTCCTTACCGAACCAGTCATCTTTCATCTATAATGCAGCACCAGAACAAATTACACCTCATTAATACGGAGGAAACTAAGAGAGCATGTTTAGCAAAGTCAAAAAATAAGTAAACGCTAATCTTGAGGTACATTTTTGCCCTTCACACATATTTAGTCCATATTTGGCTGATGTTTATAAACTATTTACACACACAAACTACTTTTTATCAACACATTCAAGGAACCTATAAGTTTCCACCACACATTTCAATAATGTATTTTTTTGGAAACTCATTTTCAACCACACATTCTTCCATAAAATAATATTACACGTAAATCCAAAACTTTTCCTTAATTTTTAACCACAATTCTCCAAAAAAATCACTACTTCAAAACACATTTTCCTCCAAAATTTCATTTATTAAAGCCCAAACAAGGGCCAGATTATAATTTAAACAGTTTATAATCACTTTCCAAACATGCTTAAAGCTGTAATTTTCTTATTTTTTAGTAAAATGTTACTTGTTTCAAAGTAACTCTAACATGTCAAAACAAATAAGTTACTTATTTCTAATTACAATATAATAAAAACATTATTTATTTTAAAACTAGTTATTTACAAATAAACATTTTTAACTTATCCAAACAAGCTCTTCATTGTTCGATGATAATGGCCAAAGATTGTGGAAAAAAGGAACTCACAAAGTAAGGGTAGCCATCAGAAGTGCTAAAATTTTCCGGAGTATTCTGTAAGAATAGGTTGGCATAATACAGAACGAAAATGCCACATTCCTCACTGTTTGTCTGCTGTGGAACCTAAAAATCGTTTGTTCAATTGGTTAAATTGTCTAGTTCAAATACGGTATCAAGAATAAGCATGAAGAGCAAATCTACCTTAGGAACTAAAAGAGGAATTTTTGTAATTAGTTTCTTGTCCACCGGCCTCTCCTCTGTTTCATATATGTCTATGACAAGCCTGTGGAAGGAGATAATAAACATGCAAATATACTGAAATAAAATGCGTAGGGAGGCATGTCTTTGAAATCATTACTAATATTCATTTGAAAAGTACCTTCTTATTAGAGGTTCAAGCCCCCTATCCAATTCACGCAGTGAATTCAATAATAAAATGCACGGATTTCTAGTTTTTGACTCTGAACTTTCACCCAAGTGACAAAAGATTAGGAGATACCAGTGAGACCTAAAAAAAGGCATCTCAATTAGCGAATTCAATAATAAAATGCAGGGATTTCTAGTTTTCGACTCTGAACTTTCCCCCAAATGATAAAAGATTACAAGATACCAGTGAGACCTAAAAAAGGCATCTCAATTGGTAATTACAGGATACTAGGATAAACTTGAAATGAAAATTACTTGAAAGAACACTAACCATAAAACAATTGGAACCAAAACATATTCTTTTGAGAATATGTTGATTTTCTTAATCCACGTCAGCACCCTTTTCCGCCAATGATCATTTGTGTACATGGAAAACCATATACATTCCATAAATGTACACAAATTCCTTTTCTCTTCAGGAGATTCCTCCCATATTTTCCTGCATATTCCAAATTTCAATCACATAGTATAGCACATCAAAATGCTAGACAGTTATACAAAATATGAGATTAATTCATAAAACTTACAGAAAGCAGCGTTGGAATAATGCATCATTTATTTTTCCTCGTAGGTTCGAGGTTGTATTGCTAACCCCCCTTGATCGTCTAGCAGGACGAGAACGACGGGCAGGAATGCCTTTCAAGTTACTCGAATTTGTTTTATGTCTACATTTTCTCTTTTGACATTTGCGTGGACTTTGGCATTCCTCCACAATTTCTTCTGCAAAATCCCCTTCTATTACACAAATGGACAATCAACATTAATTAAAAGTTGAGAATCCCACTGATGAAGGCATATATCTTTACTTAAATCATATTAATTATTCAGTGTTAATCATGAACACAAGACCAAGATAGGCCAAATAACTGACCCTATCTCTCAATGTAGAAAACCTAAGGTTCAAAAAAGAAAATAAAGGATCAACAATGTGTCAGTAGAATTCCATTTGGCGGATTCGTATTGGGTTCCACGAAATGTGTGGATAATAAATGGATGGTTGTTGAATGTGTAATTGAAATTAATATTCGACTATGACGGAATAGAAAAAGGAACTTATAAGTAACTTTTTAGCTTAGCTTGACACAGGTTTTATACGCAGAGGTTGGACTCAGACTTGACACATTATAGGCAAGTTAGGGAATGGCTCATAAGTAGTCCAAATTATAAATAGATAGAATGAGTTTTGGATAAGTGGGTATTACTCGTGGTCCAATGAAATGTGTGGATAAAAAGTGATTTGACCAAAAGTGTTTATAATTAAACACTTGCCAAACAAGGGCTATATCTTCCAAACAACTTCCAACTCTGATGGTGTTACATCCTCATACCCACATTTCCACATATAACCAGGCTTCCTGCCCAATTAGGGTCAAGGCTGGCAGTTACCTGGAATAACAAGCTGCATTTTAACCCTTAAGCACCAAACAATGACTTCTCAAGTGCCACATGATACCAGATGACTGCTATTCAATTGTATCAGATGGTAGATCATGTAGAGAAATTACAAGTACCACAATAAGTGGCTATATTAGAAGCAAGACGGCTAAACATTTATAAGATACAAGTACTATATGTCTATAAAAGTATATCGAGAAAGTCTGTTTTCAGTTTTCTTAATCTGATTTCTCCCCATAATGAGATACGAGTTTTTCAAAAAGACACCGTTGGACCTGAACAAAATGTCAAGTTTTTTCCTCATGCCTACACTTAATATCAGTTCAACTTAGAAATTAAGATCTTTCACTAGTTTTTACACGTTTCTCCTCCAAAACAACTTCAGAGGCAAATTCTTTTAGACACTATATATCCAAATTTTATGAATAAGATTGGAACATAAGTAATTTCATTACTGCAGAAGCTTGGCATCTCAAGAACATGAAATTTGGTTACGGGGAGGGGGGTGTCATGATGTTTGAGGTATAAAGCAGCAAATGATACAAAGTTAACACAAAACCCATATTTAGAATGTTGACGATGTCATCAAGTTACCAGCCGTATGAAGTAACTCAGCAGTTCGCCTCTTTGCAACTCTTCCCCTAGATCTTTGTCCACGGGGAATGAATAAAAACGGTGCCTGACTGTTCTCTGTCTTCTCAAGTCCACCTAATATTGCAACAAGTAAAGCAATGTATCATACTCAAATATCTTCACCATTCGTCAATATTTATGACAAAGACCCATTTGTGAAAACTGATCATCATCCGACAATGTTCCCTTGATTTCCAGCATTTGCATTAGAAAAAAAGAACATCTATATAAGAGAGAGAGTGTGTGTGTACCATCCGAAAATGTTCACTTGATTTCCAGCATTCGCATTAGAAAAAGTGCATAAGGGAATGGATGATGCTGACAGCAAGCTGTGAATTGGTGATTGGCTGTTTAGGTTATAACTGGGCTGAAGAAAGAGACTGAATCAAGAAGGTTTGGTCGAAGAGTTTGCAGGGAAATGGGAGCTGTCATATTTGACAATAAGTAATTTAAAGTCCATTTTAAATAGCTCGCGAGGAGAAAATCAGGTGAACAGTTCAATTGCATAGGAAGGATCTAGTGAGGAATAAGAAGGACTCCACAACTTTCAATAAAATAATATTACACACAAATCCAAAACTTTTCCTTATTTTTTAACCACACATTTTCCTTCAATATACTATTCAAAAATACATTTTTCTACCAAAATGGGATTCAAACAAGGGGTAAGAACAAACGCTTTTAGGAAGGGAAGTGGGTGGTGTATTTATTCATAAAAGGCAAAAACAAAATACAAGCTTAAGAGGGTGGGCACATAATTATCCATTGAATTAATGAAAATAAGTGCAGCAAAAATAACAAGTCTAGCAGACTGGAAGCTAAAGGTTTAAGGAACATGTATTTCCATGTGATGTCATTGTACTCTTAGTCAACATACTTCACGTGTAGTATTCTGTAGGGTCATGACCACTCTCATAGACACCATCATTTTCAAAATTATGCCTATGTTGCTTGGACTCTCCATTTTGAAGAAAGTATCCATGTAGAAAAACAAAACAAGGATAAAGGGTACGGAGTCCTTGACAGATCCTTTATACCAATAGAGAATCTTTTATATCATTTTTGTTATTTTCGTATTGGATTTGAAATGATTTCTAATTTGTATATCACTTTTCTAGACTTGAAATGAAACCCAAAGTGGAGAGTACAAGTTGCAAATGAGGAGTTTCTTTTCCAAAATATTTGGTTTAAGTGATCATGAGACAATAATTCACTAGAAGTCGTAAGAATTTGAATGTTTACAACATGTAACAGATTTAGTTAAAAAGAGCAAAAATTTCCAGCGAGGTCATCATCATTACTGGAATTGCATTCTATACTAAAAGACATGCCAAAATTCTAATATATCAAACAATTTATAAAGGAAAATGAACAATTCCATCTACACATGATAGTGTGATTCATCTTAATGATCACGAGATTGACATTTACTAGAATTTGTAAGGAAAAACTTGGATTATTTACAAGAAGGTACTAATCTAGTATAAAAGACGAGTTCCCAACAAGATCGTTGATATGACCGCAAATCTCAAATCTTGCTCTTAGATGAAAATACAGGCTGAAATTTATTTATCATATTTGTCTTCTCCTATTGAAAAAGATGGCACCATTAATGAACCAAAAAATAAAATACAACCAACCCACACGAAATAAACATAAATAAGACTTAAAAATCTTCCTACGCCACGAAATTTAAACACAATTTTATTATTTTTTATTTTTTTATTATTATTTTTTTATGACCGTGGGTGTCCGGCAGCTTACGCGCATCGACTAATCACAAGAACAGCGGGGTAATCACATCAGTGCATTGAGGGAACTCGAACCAGTGACCATTGGGAGCAAACCTAAGGCTGACCACTGAGCTAGTTGAAATTTAAACACAGAATTGGGGAAAAAAACACACTGATATGCATATTCTACAGTATTTTATTTTTTTGTATTCAACAAATGAAAAGAAAACATACCGTCTTCTCGATCCAAACTCTTTGTCTCCACTAAACCCTTGTCCGCTTTTTCACCTTTTCCTGGTTTTCATGAAGAAAGAAAATATTCAATGAACCCCCACATTGTTAAAAAAGGGAACAAAAAACGAAATCGTTATAGAATTTCGTTATAAACACTGAATCAAAATCGATTATTTTGCCTGAAATTTGAGATAAGATCTTCCTGAGATAAGAATGGCGTTCCGTTTCATCAGTCTTCGTCCTCCTTTCATACGGTACTAGTTTGATATCCATTGGCGAATGTGTTTTAGAAGTGTGCTTGTTTGAGCCGAATCTAAAGTAATTCTTCCGTCCCACTTAATTGAATTGTTTCGAAACGTCGTCGGAAAATTAACTTTTATAAAAAAAAATTCTAATTTATCCCAATTTAATTTTTAATATGTATTAGTAAATTATTGTTAAAATTAATAAATAATTTGAATAATTTAATTTGAAGAACAAGGAATGAGAGTTGTTCCATGTTTCTAAAAAGTTGGAAATATGTTTATTTGGATGATTTTGATAAGTTGACATATTAAGTGAAGAAAATTGAATAAAGAGATATTAATAAAAAAGAAAACAAAATATTATAAATTAGAAAACGCGCGTATATATTCAAGAGAAGAAAAAAGGAAACATAGCTTATATAATTGGAACGGAGAAAGTAATGGATTTTGAAATATTGATTTTTGGTTAATCGGCACAAAGTGTCCTCACGTTTAAATGTTATTGTGCAAAACGATCGTACCTTTCATTTTTTTGGAACTTTTACCTTTACATTCACTTTTTATTGCGAAATCATTTTCATGAAATTTCTCTTGTAAAATGACAAATATATACTCATTTAAATAAAACAATAAAAAAAAGTTAGGGTTTGCTTGAGCTACATTATTTTCAAAAAAAATACATTCTTCAACAGTGATTTGACATCATTTCATCCACACATTATTCAATTAAAATAATATCACACATAAATTAAAAAAATTTCATTATTTTTTAACCACACATTTCCTATTAATTTGACATGAAAAATACATTTTTTTGCCTATAATATGGTTCAAACATAAATTTAAAGAATAAATTACAATCATATTTCCAAACTTTTTTAAAAAATGCAAATGAGATTAAATAAATTATTATAAGGATAATTAGCAGAAAGCGTCCCTATCTTTCATTATTATTGTGTAAAACAGTCATACATTTCATTTTTTGATATTTTCACCATTTTTTTAATAGTTCATTGCAAAAATCATTATTTTCATCCACCTTCTCAATTAAAAACTATAAAATGACAAATATACCCTTCTCTTAAAATAAACAAAAAGAAAGAGAAGAAAAATAAAGCGTCAACCTATAGGGTTTATCGTTTTTCTAATTTCTTCTCTAGTCGAGTGTGACAAATAGTCAATTTTGAAAGAACTTATTGTCAATCTCTTTCAGATATGAATTTTTACTTTTTTTAAAATTTTGGAAATATAGTTATAATTTGTTCTTTTTAAATTTTTTTTTATCCAAAAAGGAGTATATATTTGTCATTTTATAGCTTTTAATTGAGAAAATAAATGAAAATAACGATTTTCACAATGAAACATGAAATAAATGTGAAAATATCAAACAAAATAAAAAGTATAAACGTTTTGCACAAAAATAATGAAAGGTAATGACGTTTTGTGCTACTTACCATTTTAGCCCATATTTGGGTTCCATTATTTATTCATTAAAATGAAAAATATGACTGTTATCCATCACATCAAACCACCAAATTTGATTTTCTATCTGTTATGTGGGGCGCGTAACGGGTATATTTTTCATTTTCATTCTTCCAAAAATGATAAACAAACGGGGGCTTAATAATTTATTTAAACTCATTTGTACTTTTTAAAAAGTTTGAAAACATGATTGCAATTCATTCTTTATTTATTTTTTAAGTGTTATATTTAAATAGGGAGTGTATTTGTCATTTTATACGAGAAATTTGGTGATATTGATGATTTTCGCAATAAAATGTGAAAGTAAGGATAAAAGTGCCAAAAAATAAAATGCTGGAACATTTTGGACAATAACATTGAAATGTAAGAACGTTTTGTGCTAGTTGCCCTTGATTTTTTAGAGACGTATTATTGAAAAGTATAGACAAATTTTAAATTCATGTACAAAATATTTTATTGTGAGAATATATAATTAAAAATAAATTTGAGAAAAAATATATTATGTTTTAATGGTTGTCAAACATGGGCTTATTAGGATAAGAATAATGCTATTTATATATAAATAATTACATAATGATTTACATATAAATAAGGTGTAAAAAAGAGAGTGGAGAAGTATATATAAATTTTTTAATAATTTGATTGAAGAAATTTCTGACTCGATCATACCTTAACACATTATATGTATCTAGCTTTGGTTTGGTAAAATTTTTGAAAAATCAAAATTTATTTTGAAATTAAAAGATTAAATGTATTTTTGATTTGCTGTTTTCAAGCGACTTTCAACCTTTAGTTCTTCAAAATATTGGATATGTGTTTAGTATGTTATTTTTTTTAAATATATTTTCGAAAATAAGGATAAATTTATAATATAAACCTCAATTCACATTTTTCACATTTCGAGTATTTTCAATGAAAATTCTAAAAATGCTCAAAACACGGAAAAAAGAGCATTTAAGTAAAATTTAAAATTTTTAAAAATAAAAATACAAATTTTTAACAAATAAAATTTAAAAATTATAAAACATTAAAATTCAAAATAGTAAAATAAAAAAATAAATTTGATAGATTCTAAAAAATTAAATTTAAAATTCTGAAAAATAAAGATTATAAAAATCTCTAGAAAAATAAAAAATAAAAATAGTTTCAACTCTTAATAATTATTTAAATAGAAATGCTTAAAAATATTTGAATGAACATAGAATAAATTATTTTAAGTCACAATGAAAAGATCAAATGTCGAATACTTTTATTTTTCTCAAATTGGAATATGTAATATCATAATAATGGTATCCACGCATTAGTTTTTATTTTTATTTCCTATATTTAAAATTTAATTTATCATTTATTATTTTGTTTTTTAGTAAGAAAAAATAGTATAAAATTCACCAACTTTAAAATATATATCGAAGCACGAATCTAACGGGCCCTAAACCCCTATTTGATGGAGATTAAAATTATATTTTTAATAAGTCCTTGTTCAATGCCCATTATTTTCATTAAAATGAGTTTTGTAATGATATATTTTTAGAGACTGTCTGGTTAAGAAGTATGAAATTTTTCTAAATTTATGTGTAAAAGATTTTGAAAATGAGTTTTGAAATAATGAGAATCAAACAAATGGTAGTGTTTTTTTTTTTTTTTTTTTTTTTTTTTTTTTTTTTTTTTTTTTTTTTTTTTTTTTTTTTATCAAGATTGGTGAATAAGTGGTTAAAAAGTTAAAAATTTCATGAAATATGTTGTTAAGATTAAATGTTGACTTTGATTAAGATTAAAATATAAATTTTAATTCCTATCAAACATGACTAATTTTTTTTAATGTTTTGGATAATTTTTTAAACAGATTTTGTCTAATTTAGATAATTTTTAGGAAATATTTTATCTAATTACAGTAGATTTTAGAGAAAATTGATAAAGATGGTTTATTCAATAAATTCTTCTATAAAAAGCAAAATTCTTGTCAAATGGACTTGAGACCAAGATACGTAAATATCACCCCAACCACCAATTGAGGGTAAGGGCTCATTTGGTTTAGCTTTAAATCATATATTTTTTAGTAGATTTTAATAACCCGCCGCATTGCTAGGATTGAGTTGGTCCATTCCCAATTTTTATAAGGGAAAATTTCACAACTTAGGTATTAACTATGGACCACTTCAATTTTTCAGGTTTCGAATTCAAAATTCAAAATTCAGGTGATAAATAGATAATTAAAAATATTTTATTAATTAAATATATTGATATCACAATTATAAAATTAATAGTCAAATGTACGTACTTATAGATCACAACTTATTTATTGGCAATATTTTATCAAATCAATTGGTCACAAATTATTTCTTTATTACAAATAAAAAAATTCACATGTCACAATTTATTTCGTCGGTAACAAATTAAAAAATTCATAGGTTACAGGTTATTTGTTGTTCACAAATTATAAAATTAGTTGGTCACAATTTATTTATCAGTTACAAATCACAAATTTTATAAGTCACAACTCAAATTTTTAGGTAATATATTATTTAATGGACACAAATTATCGTTTTCAAGTTACTTATTGGTTACAAAATAACCAATTTATTGATCGCAATTCAAATAACTAACACTCTTAAACCACCGCCACTACCAAATCCAACAAACTCGTGTCAAATCCACCACAATTAGACCCACTGCCAATCCAACAAAACCCACCATGACCGCTAGATCCACTATTACCGTCACCAACAAAAACAGAAGCCAAATCACTTTAGAGAAATGCCAAAAATTGGTAAAACACTACAAATTGAAGAAAATTCCAGATTATCGCTACATCCGGCGATCTGTGATCGACTCAGCTGGAAAGTACAGATTACCGTAGGACGCTGCGTAGTTGCTACGCCTTTGATGCCTCCCTAGTACAGATCGTAGCAAGGTATAGCGCCACCACTACCTGCACGGCTACCACCTACATGACCATGACCATTTGCAAACCATCAAACATGACCAACAAGCCATGCAAAATATCGACTCAGGAGCAGACCAGAAAGATACAACCCAAAAAAATATCCAATAGTTAGCAATCTCGTCGTTCATTGGCACCTAATTTGCCGTTGTACAACGATTGTTGCTATGGCAGATCATCACCGCCTGATCTGCCACTTGACAGTGGTAGTGCTGCAGTAGATCATAGATGTTGTACAGCGTTGAAGAGCTTAGGCCTATATTGATGTCACAGTTATACAATTAATATTCAAACGTACGCACTTATAAATCAAAACTTATTTATTGGCAACATATTATCAAATCAATTGAATACCAATTATTTCTTTATTACAAATAAAAAAATTCACAGGTAACAAATTAAAAAATTCATAGGTCACAGGTTATTTGTTGTTCACAAATTATAAAATTAGTTGTTTACAATTTATTTATCAGTTGCAAATCACAAATTTTATAAGTCACAACTCCAATTTTTAGGTAATATATTATTTAGTGGACACAAATTATCATTTCCAAGTTACTTATTGGTTACAAAATAACCAATTTATTGGTCGCAATTCAAATAACTAACTCTTAAACCACCACCACCACTACTAGATCCAACAAACTCGTGTCAGATCCACTGCCAATCTAACAAAACCCACCACGATCGCTAGATCCACTATTACCATCACTAACAAAAACAGAAGCCAAATCGCTTCAGAGAAACGCCACAAATTGGTAAAACACTACAAATCAAAGAAAATTTCAGATCGTCGCTACATCCGGCGATTTGTGATCGACTCAGCTGAAAAGTACAGATTACAGTAGGACGCTGCGTAGCTGCTACGCCTTCAATGCCTCCATAGTACAAATCGTAGCAAGGTACAACGCCACCACTACCTGCACAACTACCACCTGCATGACCATGACCATTTGCAAACCATCAACCATAACCTACAAGCCATGCAAAATATCGACTCAGGAGCAGACCAGAAAGATACAACCCAAAAACAAATCCAATAGTTAGCAAACTCGCCGTTCATTGGCACCTAATTTTCCGTTGTACAGCAATTGTTGCTATGGTAGATCATAACCACCTTATTGGCCACTTGACAATGGCTGTGCTGCGGTAGATCATGGTTGTTGTACATTGGAGATGCGCTTAGGCCCCCGTCGCTCGTTGCTTCAAAGGGAGGCCGCTGTGAGTGTTGTTCCGACTTGCCTCCAATGATGGTGTGTGATAAAGAAAAAGAAGAGAGAAGATAGAGGATATAGAGAAAAGGTAGAAGAAAGGAAGAGAATAGAGAGATTAGGGTTTGTAATAAAATATAGTAGGGGTGGATAGAGGTGTGGTAGGCGTGAAATTAATTCAATTTTATAATATTATTATTTATATTAAAATTTTTAATTATAACCTAAATTTTGAATAAAAACTTCCAAATTAGAAACTCGAAAAACGTGTATAGATCTAATTACCACTTTTTATAATGCACAGGGCCAAATTTGGTCGACTTCCCATTTTCACGGGCTAATGGCCCAAGGATGTAGCCGTGTAGGCCTCTTTTTTGTTAATGGCTTTTTTATTTTATTCTTATTTCCTTTTTCACACATTTATGGCACAATCTTGATAGGACCCTAACGTTAACAAGCCAAGTTCGGGTTGTGATTACGCCCAAAGTATAACGTGACGATTATAATATAGTTTTAGGATGTCGTATCCACATGGAGATGGGAAAATAGTTCAAAGGTTCAAAAGTTAGGATTTTTCGTTATGAATTTGTATGAAAATAGTGTACCAATTTGAAATGTGTTTTAAATATCAAAATGTAAGATAGCGAAGCACTGGAAGTCCCTCAATTGTTTCAGCCTAATTAATGTAAGTCACTTATGTGTTTTACCCAATTAAAAATTTCTCGTTCGTATGGCATACAAAATCCCTTTGATCCGACAATAGTTCTAAAATTTAAGATTTCCAACCAATACTAGACACATTGTTTTAATCTATTGAAATCAAATCCAAAAATAATCATATACAATATGCATAAAATTGTAAAGGATTACACCAATAAGTAAATGAAATTAACATTCAATGAATAGTTCAATTCTTCGATAGAAAGAACATGATTAATTCTATAAAGAACTTAATACAAATTAAATCAATTTCATTACGTACTCATGAAAAAAAAAGAAAAAAAAGAAATCACAATCTTAGAAATGTTTTAATAATAAGAATAATAACACATTCATGAAGAAACATTAAAATACCGACGCCAATCGAGTTCGTTCGTAGCTTCGCTTGGTTGTTCTTAGCCTTCCATGGAGTTACTTGGCCAAAGATGAGAGAAAAAATGGAGTCCCGATTCAATCCCCCACGTTCTGGAGTGTTTTTGGACTTAAGAAACATGTCAAAACGTGTTTCCATAAGTGATGATGTCAATTTAGGAATCTGGCAAATTTGGTCTCGGAGGATAACTATGCGACCGCATAGTTATAAGCCATGCAGTGGCATAAAACAAATGTGTGGCGCCCAAAAGTTCCTTGGACCTTTCTATGCGGTCGCATAGTTCAAATTTTTTTCGCCGGACAATTTTTAGTATTTTGGCCATAACTTTTCATCTCGATGTTCGATTGAGGTGATTCAAGTTGCTTTGGACAACTAACTCGAAGGGCTATAATTTTTCTTCAGAGTCACTTTCCAATTCAATAATTTTTCATGTAAAAAATGGGTCTTAAAATGAGGCTGAAAACCGGTACGTAACTTTTTCAATTGGAAATTGATTTGTGAAGATGTTATGGTCATATTTCACTTATTTTGACTTCAAATTACACCCAATTGACTCCTAAATTTCATCATTCCATCACCCGTCTCATTATGGATTATTTGCAACTCGATCTCTAAATTTTCACTTTCTTCCACTTTGGCCCTTTCTACTCATTTCTTCCAAATTCCACATTTTCCATCAAATTGGGATCTAGATCAAAACATAAGAGTAATGGGTGTGTTTTGACATCAAATAATTATACGAATGCAATAATTAAAAGGGAAAATATCATATTTTACACTCTTACCAGACTCTCCAACTTGCTTATTGCTAATCCCTAACAATTTAATGCAAAACGAGAAAATGAGTGATTGGTCCATGATACGAATGAAATTATTAAGTTCTAACTTAACTACAATTCATGCTCTTTTCAAACTCAACATCACAAGAATTTAACAATGCCATGATCATCAAGATATCAAAAACACTTGCTAAATGTGTGAGTGTGTGTTAAGTCATAGCCATCTTATCACCAACCCTAACACATGCAACATTAATTATGTCTCGAGCGGAAAGTTCAGCTCCACAACTCACGGGTATCGAAGTGTTTAGCGCTATTTTTTCTTTATGGAGCTGAGAAAAGGATACACTCAGAATTTGGAGGCTTAAATGTTTATGAATGAGCAACAAGCGATTGATCTTATGATAGACATACTGTCAAATGAAAATTCATCACTTTCTTACCACAATCATACTTGGAATCAAAATAGTCAATGTAAAGGGTTGTAATGTGGTTTGGGTTTGGCTGTATGAAAATGAGGATATAAAGATTAAAGGACTTCCAAACATGCAGTTAGACATCTCATCAAGTATCTCGATAGATTACATCTTTCAATCAATACACTCTTCAATATTTGAACCCCAAAATCAATCAATTTTTTTGTCTCTTTTGTCTTTTTTTTTTTGTTTTTTGTTTTTTTTTAAAGGTGTTTTCCTTGAGCACATACTAACTCTTATTATTTTCTTGCTTCTATTTTTCACAAATAAGCATTTAATACTTATTACACGCTTGGAAGTAAAAAATTGGGTAAATACATGGATAGACTATACTCCAATGTGGAGAAGTATGTATAACATGGGTGTATGAAGAAAATGCTATACATGTGTGTATGGCTCAACATGGTTACTAGGGGTTGTAATTATTGAAAAAGAATGCTTGAAAGGCTTATATGTTAATTCTAAATTGACCTTCATCATTTCCCAAGTAACTTACCATCTTATCACAAATCATATATTCTCAAAAGAGTTTCCAATTGACAAATCAATAACTGTTCATGGCTATTTTAGTGCAATGTGGCTCTCGATCCTCACTAACTCTCACAAGAAAACTTTAGCAAGAAACTATTCTAGCTTCGTGTGTTAAACCACTATCTTACCACAAGACTTGTGTGCGCTAAAAGATTAAGCAAATGTCTCAACATCCAAACTTTCATAAACAACATTAATTCCTAGAGGCATATATTGTCATTCAAGAACATGTAATGAATTAAGGACTTAAAAAAAATTTAGACCAAAATTCCAGGTAAATCATAAAATTCACAATAAAATTTAAGTTAAACTCTCCCCCCATCTAAACATTGCATTGTCCTTAATGCAAAAATATGTTTGCCAAATAAAGGTAAGGAAAGATGTTACCTGAGTGCTGAAGCGAATCACATGAGCAAAAGTATAAGAAGCTTAAAAGTCTCCAATGGAAAGAGTGATGCAGAAAATGAAAATAAACTAAAAAAAAAATGCAAAACACACTAAAAAAAAATCTAAAACTAATATACAGAAATACAAAGTGAAAAATGTACCTGAAGTGTGTCATGGGTGGTAAACTGGGTCTGCAAGAGGAATTTCTTCCAATGCAGGCACCTGTTGCCCATATAGTATTTTGAGTCTCTGTCCATTCACTTTGAATACCCTACCATCATTAGGGTCCTCAATTTCAACCGTCCCATTCTCAAAAACTCGTGTTACGACAAAGGGACCAGTCCACCTAGAGCGGAGTTTTCCCCAGTGCTTGTAAAGTCTAGAATCATACAAGTACACTTTCTGGTTTTGTTCAAAAGTTTTTCTCACAATGTTTTTATCATGAAATGCTTTCATTTTTGACTTGTAAATTCTAGAACTTTCATAGGCATCATTTCTTGACTCCTCTAACTCACTTAATTGAAATTTTCTATGTTTACCTCCCTCTTTTAGATCAAAGTTGAAGTGTTTAATGGTCCAAAAAGGCTCAGTGCTCAAATTTGATAGATAAATAGCAAGGCTTTCCAAAGATTAGTCTATAAGGTGACATGCCTAGGGAAGTCTTAAAAGCTGTACGATAAGCCCAAAGTGCATCATTTAGTCTTAACGACCAATCCTTACGATTAGGGTTTACCGTCTTTTCGAAAATTTGTTTAATTTTCCTATTAGCCAATTCTACTTGTCTACTAGTTCGTGGGTGATAAGAAGTGAAAATTTTATGAATCACCCCATACTTTTTCATTAGTGCCTCAAATGAACAGTTGTGAAAGTGTGTGCCTCTATTACTAATGATAACATGTGGTGTACCAAATTGAGACAAAATATTTTCTTTAAGGAATTTAACAACCGTTTTATTGTAATTGGCTCTACAAGAAACTGCCTCTAACCACTTAGACACGTAGTCTACAACTACAATGATGTATAAATAGCCAAAAGAGGGTGAAAGGGTTCCATAAAGTCAATGCCCCAACAATCAAACACTTCAACTACCAAAATGGGATTTAAAGGCATCATATTACGGTGGGAAATAGCACCTAGTTTTTGACACCTCTCACAATGTGGGCTAATAAAAATCACACTGCAAAATTTTGCAGCAGTCTTTTTCATAGAAAAGTGGCCCCCACAAGCTTGGGTATGACAAAAATCTAGTACACTGAATATCTCCTCATCAGGAACACGTCATTTCAATATTTAGTCGGGGCAATACTTAAATAAACAGAGGTCATCCCAATAAAAGTTACGTACCTCAATCAAGAATATTCTCTTATCCTGTGCACTTCACTCCTTTGGAATTTCACCTGTAGCTAAGTAATTCGCAATATTAGCAAACCATGGTAGAGAAGAGATAATAAATAAATTTTCATCGGGAAATTCATCTCTAATTGGCAAGGTGTTTGAGTTATCTTCAAAGGTCAGCCTTGATAGATGGTCTGCTACAACATTTTTCACTCCCTTTTTATCTTTGATAATGATGTCAAGTTCTTGCAAAATCAAGATCCAACGTAGTAGTCTTGCGTTAGTATCTTTCTTTGCAATAAGGTGCTTAAGGGCTGCATGATCTGTGAAAACAGTAATGGGAGAGCCAATCAAATAGGATCGAAATTTATCAAGCACAAAGATTACCGCTAGTAATTCTTTTCAGTGGTGGAATAATTCATTTGAGCACTATTTAGAGTTCTACTAGAGTAGTAAATCACAAAAGGCTTACCTTCTTTTCGTTGCCCTAGAACAGCACTTACCGCAAAGTCACTATCATCACACATAATTTCAAATGACAATGTCCAATTAGGTAATTGCATTATGGGTGCGGAGGTGAGTTTACCAATCAACAATTCAAATACATTTTGACCTTCAGGTGTCCATTCAAAAGTCACATCTTTGTTTAGCAAGTTACATAGGGGTCTAAATATATATGAAATTTTTTGTATAAATCTCTTATAAAAATCTGCATGATCAAGAAATGATCTAATATCCTTTACTGTCTTGGGTGTAGGCAATTTAGAGATCAATTCAATTTTTGACTTATCTACTTCTATCCCTCTTGAAGAAATAACATGCCCTAAGACAATACTGAAAGACACCATGAAATGACATTTTTCTCAATTCAAAACTAAGCCTTTTTCTTCATATCTAGCCAAGACTCTTTTCAAATTTAATAAACATACATCAAAGGAGGTCCCAAAAATAGTCAAGCCATCCATAAAAACTTCCATACAATCCTCTACCATATCACTAAACATACTCATCATACATCTTTAAAATGTGGCAGGGGTATTGCAAAGTTCAAATAACATTCTACGAACTGCATAAGTACCAAAAGGACACGTTAATGTGGTTTTTTCTTGCTCTTCTAAAGAAATCTCAATTTGATAATGTCCTGAATATCCTCTAGAAAACAGTAAAAGGGATGATCAGCCACACGTTCAAGTATTTGGTCCAAAAAGGGAAGGGAAAATGGTCTTTGTGAGTGGTAGCATTTAACTTCCTATAATCAATGCACATGCGCTAACCAGTTACCGTTTTTGTAGGGACCAATTCACCTACTTTATTTTTTACTACAGTGACACCTGACTTCTTGGGAACTACCTGTGTAGGGCTAACCCATTTACTGTATGCAATTGGGTAAATGATTCCTGTGTCTAGCAATTTAAGCACCTCATTCTTTACCACTTCTTTCGTTGTGGGGTTTAGCCTACGTTGTGGGTCTCTCATAGGATTAGCCCCTTCCTCTATATGAATCCTATGGGAACAAATTAAAGGACTAATACTTTGATGTCGGCTATGGTCCACCCTAATGCAGATTCGTGTTCATTCAAAATGTCTAAAAGTTGTTTACATCGTAATGGATCCAATTTTGACAAAATAATGACAGGAAAGGTATCACCGATCCAAGGAACACATATTTCAGTCTTGTAGGAAGTTGTTTCAATTCTAGACTAGGGCTTTCAATACTTGATGGTTTCTGTCCTCCAGTCCTTTTTGACGATTCCTCAAACTTGGGTTGCCATGTGAAGTCCTGTGGTCCTGCAATTTTGCAAAAATAGCACAAATGTTAGCATACTCATCAAAATCAAAACCACATGAAATTTCAAAATTTAGGATAAAAGAGTTCAAAGGATCATAATCAATTGTTGTGGATGAGTCCTCCTGAGTGAATATATCAATCATGTAGGTTTGATGGCATTCATCATCTTCAGTAGGTTGTTTGGTGACATGAAAAATATTGACTTCTAGAGTCATATTTCCAAATGTCAGCTTCATTAGACCATTCCTACAATTGATAAGAGTGTTAGCTGTAGTAAGGAAAGGTCTACCAAGTATAATAGGGATTTTAGAGTTAACATCTACCTCAACCTTCACATCCAATACCAAGAAATCAACGAGATAATAAAATTTATCAACCTGAACTAATACATCCTCAACTACTCTCCTTGGTTGTATGGTGGACCGATCAACTAATTGTAGAACCACTGAGGTGGGTTTTATCTCTCCTAGACCTATAACTTGTATATAGCATAGGGCATGAGGTTGACACTAGCTCCTAAATCAAGAAGGGCTTGTGCAAACTCATGATTCCCAATGACACAAAAAATGGTAGGACAACCAGAGTCTTTATACTTTGGTGGGATTCTTTGTTCTATCATAGCACTCACTTGCTCAGTTAAGAAGGCAATTTTTTTTAATAGATGCTTCCTTTTTACAGTGCATAAGTCTTTAAGGACTTTGGCATATGTAGGAACTTGAGAGATCACATGCAAGAGAGACAAATTGATTTTGACTTGTTTCAAGTGTTCTAAGATTTCATTATGTTGACCTGTTGATTTCAAAGTGGACTTGAGAGTTTGAGAAAAAGGCATTCTAGCTAGGGTTTCACTACTTCCTCACTAGGACTGCTCTCATTAGGCTCATTTGGCTCTTTTTCGTTCTCTCTAGGTGAAGAGGTTGGTTCTACAACCTTCCGTGATCTAATGGTTATGGCATTCACCTCCTTAAAATTGGTCTCTTCGGATCCTGAGATTTGTGTCATGTGCTGCCCTTTTGAGTTTGGTTGAGTTTAAGCTGGAAGCTTTTCACGTTCCCTTATAGCTAAAGCATTGGTTAACTTTGACATATGATTCTTTATCTCTTTGTTTTCCTTAACTAAATGGCCTATCATAGTCTCAAATTTTTTTTATTTCTTTTACCCTATGCCTCAATAAATGCATGTAAAGTATCTTCTAAAGAATTCCTCGATGATGTGGGTTGACGTGGGGGTGCATTGTAAGCTCTATTGGATTGGGTATGCAGTTGGTTCTCAGACTTTCAGCTAAAGTTGGGATGATTCCGCCACCCTAGGTTGTAAGTCTCGGAGAAAGGGTTGTAGGGCTTTTGACATACGCCTAAAGTATTACAGTGTTCCTCATAAAGTCCCCTCATCTCAGTATAAGTAGCACACTCTCGTGCTAGATGATTCATGCTACCACACACAAAACAAAACCCTTCAGACTCAACAAGGGAAACAACATGTGTAGGTTTTGAATCTTTAGCACGTAGAGCTTCTAATTCTTTAGTGAGACTTTCTACCTTGGCTCTAAGGTTTTTTTCCTCCCTAAGGTCATAAATGCTGGTGCTAGTAGAGTTTCCCTGAGGTCATGACCTATTGGTGCTATCGGAAGCATTTGGTCTAGTCCAAGTGTGAGCCTTTTCAGCTAAGTCGTCTAGATACTCTATGGCTTCATCCTGGTCTTTTTGTAAGAAGTCTCCATTACACATCATTTCAACAAATTGACGCTTCCTAGATGTTAGACCCTCATAAAAGTAACTCATCACACGCCAACTCTCATATCCATGGTGAGGGCAAAGAATTTGCAACTCTTTGTATCTCTCCCAAACTTGGTATAAGGTTTCACTATCATTTTGGGCAAATGAGGAAATTTGCTTCTTAAGGGCAGTGGTCTTATGATGGGGGTAATATTTTCCAAAGAAGGCTTGGCCCAAGTTCCAATTGAATGTGGTTTCAATGAATATAACCAGCTTTTTGCTCATTTTTTGAGTGAAAATGAAAAAAATTTAAACCTGATTGTATCCATTGTACCACGTTGATTGTGGAAAGTTGCAACCACTTTCTCAAATTCTTGAATATGCACATACTAATTCTCATTTTCAAGTCCGTGAAAAATGGGAAAAAGTTGAATCATTCTCGATTTTAGGTCCATACTTGGCATATTGGTGGGAACATAATGCAAGATGGGATGGAAGTGCGTGTTGGGTGAAGGTAATCATGTAGGGTCCTATAGGGCGCATAGCCGTGCTCACTATTGCTCATTGTGTTGTGTAATGTGATGCTCGTGTTTACAGATGTAGAACCAAAAAGAGGGTTAGAAAGTAATTCAAACTCTAGTTGAGGTTTTGCAATGAATCGCTTTCGCTCGTCTCAATACCTGTTTATAAAGCACAAAAATGCAAAAATGTAAGAAATGACAAAATACAACTAAAATTAAATAACAAACTAAAAAGATAAAAGAGGAATGAGGTCACCCTTTTGCTCGAAAATCCTTTAATTATTTGTACTGTCTCCTCGACAACGGTGCCAAAATTTGATTATGCCCAAAGTATAACGCGGCGATTTTAGTATAGCTTTGGGGTGTTTTATTCATAGGGAGATGGAAAAATAATTCAAAGGTTCAAAAGTTAGGGTTTTTCATTATGAATTTGTATGAAAATAGTGTACCAATTTGAAATGTGTTTTAAATATCAAAATGTAAGATAGCGAAGCACCAGAAGTCCCTCAATTGGTTGGGCCTAATCAATGTAAATCACTTATGTGTTTTACCCAATTAATGATTTCTCATTCGTAATGCGTTGATTGGAAGATATGGCATACAAAATTCCTTTGACCTGACAATAGTTCTAAGATTAAGATTTCCAACCAACACTATATACATCATTTTAATCTATTGAAATCAAATTCAAAAATAATCATATACAATATGTATAAAATTGTAAAGGATTACACCAATAAGTAAATGAAATTAACATTCAATGAAGAGTTCAATTCTTCGATAGAAAGAACATGATTAATTCTATTAAGAACTTAGTACAAATTAAATCACTTTCATAATGTACTCATGAAAAAAAAAGAAAAAAAAGAAATCACAATGTCATAAATGTTTTAATAATAGGAATAATAACACATTCATGAAGAAACATTAAAATACTGATACCAATCGAGTTCGCTCATAGCTTCGCTTGGTTGTTTTTAGCCTTCCATGGAGATGCTTGGCCAAAGATGAGAGAAAAAATGGAGTCCCGGTTCAATCCCCCACATTGTGGAGTGTTTTTGGGCTTAAGAAACGTGTCAAAACGTGTTTCCATAAGTGATGACGTCAATTTAAGAATTTGGCAAATTTGGTCTCGGAGGATAACTATGTGACCGCATGGTTATAAGCCATAAGATCGCATAGAACAAATGTATGGCGCCCAAAAGTTCCCTGGACCTTTCTATGCAGTCGCATAGCTTTTGAACTATGCCACCTCATAGTTCAAAATTTTTTTCGCCGGATAGTTTTTAGTATTTTGGCTATAACTTTTCCTCCCATTATTCAATTGAAGCGATTCAAGTTGCATTGGACAGCTGACTCGAAGGGCTACAACTTTGCTTCAGAAATCACCTTCCAATTCGATCATTTTTTCGTGTAAAAAATGGGTCTTAACATGAGGCTGAAAACCAGTTCGTAACTTTTTCAATTGGGAATTGATTTGTGAAGATGTTATGGTCATATTT